AGAAGGGTGTGAGGAGAAGTGTCTGATGGTTGGTTGGGTAAGGTAGCAGGAGAGTGAGAGGTACTGGGTGCATTGTGGGAAGAACTGGAAGGGGGGAAAGAAGGAGTGGTTGGTATAGGTGAAAGAGAGGGAAAAATAGGGTTTGAGGTAGTGACAGGAGTGGTAGAGGTGGAAGAAGAAGTAAGAAAGGGGAAAATTGTCTCATAGAAGGTGACATCTCTAGAGACAAAGAATGTGTGTGAGTTGAGATCATAGAGCTTAAATCCTTTGATCCCATAGGGAAATCCAATGAAAATGCATTGTTTGGCTCTACTGTCAAATTTGGTTCTGTCTCTATGAAGAGTGGCAGCATAACAAAGACAACCAAATGTTCTTAAGCCAGATAGACTTGGTGGTTTGTGATAGAGCAATTCATAGGGTGACTTATTGTCAAGGACAGAAGAAGGGATCCTGTTAATGAGGTATACTGCATGGAGGACACAATCACTCCAGAAATGGAGAGGCACACCAGATTGAAATCTCAATGACCTAGCCACATTCAAGATGTGTTGGTGCTTCCTCTCAACCCTAGCATTTTGCTCAGGGGTTTCAACACATGACAACTGATGCTCAATCCCATGAGCAGCATAAAACTCAGCCATATGAAATTCACCTCCTGATCACTTCTAATGACCTTAACTGATTTGGAGAACTGCTTAGACACCATCACACAGAAAGACTCCAACAGATTACTAGCTTCTGATTTGTGTTTCATCAAATATGTCCAAACAGCACGTGAGTAGTCATCAACAATGGTAAGGAAATAAGAGTATCCCTCATGGGATTTAACAGCAAGTGGCCCCCAGATGTCCACATGTATAAGAGAAAAAGCATCTGGTGCATGAAATGAACTAACAGGGAAAGGAAGCCTTTTGTGTTTGGCAAAATGACAGGTTTCACAATGAAAGACAGGTGAACTATTACAAGGTACTAAGAGTTTTTCTTTCTCTCTAGGAAGATGTCCTAGCCTCCAGTGCCATAGTTCAATGTTTTGTGATGAGAAGTTGTAAGTGGCTGCTGCCAATGGTGTTGATTGAGAAGGGGAAGGGGTCTTGAAGCTTAGTTGGTAGAGCCCTCTAATCTGCTTTGCCAAACCAATTCTGCTCTGGGTCATGAGGTCCTGAATTTGGCAAGAGTCAGATTCAAAATGTAAGGAGATGGGTAAATCATCTGTAAGTTTACTGACAGAGACTAGGTTAAAAGAAAAACTTGGCACTAGGAGGACATTATCTAGGATCAGACCAGAAGGTAGTTTAACTCTTCCTATGTGGCTAACAGCTACTTTGGTGCCATTTGGCAGGAAGACAAACTGGTTGTGGACAGGAGTGGACTCTATGAAGAGATCCAGGGTGCAAGCTATGTGGTCAGAGGCACCTGTATCAAGAATCCATATGCCTACCAATCCATGTGTGTGATGTTGTAGGTGAGAGGAAAGAATGTACTTACCAGCACTATTGGGAAAGTGAGGAATGTGCTGTGATACTGAGAAGGCATGATGATTCAGTGATGGTGATGCTGGTGGAGAGGGACTAGGAGAAGAAGTAACTGAATTCAGGAGGAACTTGAGTTTGTTCAGTTCTTCTGTAGACAAACCAAAACCCCTATTGGAGTTCCTGGTATCAATGCTTAGCTTAGCATCTGAACTAGCAGAGTCACTGTCAGTGGAAGAATCACTCTGTGAGACAGCTGCAGCCACACTTCCACCTGCCATTCGAGCCTTCTTACGTTTCAGGATATACAGTCACATTCAACGATGGGATTGAACTGGAGGTTCTCCTCCCACAGACCTTTGAAAGCAGTATAATACTGTGTGATGTTTTGGGTTCCTTGTTTACAAGCAATGATCTGGTCCTGGAGATTAGCCAACTTAATGGCATTTGGAAGACCAAACTCCTCTTCAACTCTTCCCAGAGAACCCTAGCATTCTCATGTTGCATTACACTACGCCTTATTTCCTTTTCAATTGAGTTAAGAATCCAGCATAAGACTAGTGTATTGGATGCATCCCATAACCCATAACTAGGATCTTCACTTGGAGGCATCATAATACTACCATCAATGAACCCTATCTTGTGTTTAGTCTTCAAAGCCATACGAATGGCCCGTTGCCACATTTGATAGTTGATCCATCGAGGTTCTCAGAAACAATTGACTGGGAGATGTTCTCATTTGGGTTAATGTAAAAGGGGTTACCAAATTGAAGATCTCCGCAGCCATTGTTGTTGCTGTTGTCAGTTGTTCCACTGGTCTGTGCACCGAACGACCCAAAAGGAATGCCTCCACTACCAGGAGTGTTTGGTGGAGGTGTATTTGCCATCACGAATCACTGGATCTGGTCCAGCTCTGATACCATGTTGGAGAACTAATCACTTGGCCCCAATAACTCGAGTTGTTGGGAAAGGAATAGTTAAGCCTTTTAACCTCTTATAACGACCATGGAAACGACATAACGATATTTTCAAACACTCCATATACTAGATAGTAGCATCGACTGGTACGTATTGGTTTCGGCATAAACACGAGGATGCAGTAGAATTGGTATCAAATATACACGTACGGTTCATGCTGATTCCATTAGGTTCTGAAGGTGAATTGCTTACGTTACACCCGATTACTTACCGCTCAAGTCTTCTATATGAGCCGGAGGAAAATCCTCGATCGGAGTTGTCAACTCCTGGAGCTCATAAATTAAATTAAAATAGCGCCAATTAATTATCATTTATCTTCGCCCGTTTTTCTCTAATTCATATGCATAATCTACGTATATAGCGGCTTCATTTGTCGTGACATACAGGTTAAATTAAAATACAATATACTTTCCCCTGGCAACTCATGTTTTGTCCTGTAATTCATACTTTATTTAAGATGGAATCACCAACGTTAAAATATTGATTACACGCATTTGGTTTGGCTCTGTAGGTCGTTCATAACATGATAAAATTGCTAACATGCAGCTCAATCCAGACAGAACCGGGTAAGGTAAACTAGTACTTAATACATAATATATATTTTTTTATATAGTTTTAAGGGCACAGTTGTTGGTTGTCGCGGTTTAGTACTCGATCTAGACATCATAAACGGAGGCAGTGATTGATTTTACATTGATAAACAAGAGAAATCAATCTAAAACCCCACAATTATAAAGGTTATTTACAATTGTACAAATTATAAAGAACTTTCATGTTACATTGTGCTGGGCCGCGTAGTTGAGCGTACTCGGACCTCGGGACCAAGAGGACCAGGTTAGCGAATAAGGCCCAAGAAGAGAGCCTGGTCCAACCAGAAAGACCGGGTCAGCGGGCGGTCCTTGACCGACTCAAGGCCCGAAAAGTAGCTAGGGACGCCTGACATAAAGCGACTGGCTACGACAGAGAAGTAAAGATCCGTTGAGATACATACTTTGTGTCAAGTAAGACTGAGCATTTATTGCCAGCCACAGGCGGCCTGCAGGAGGGCGAAAAGCCTGCTCAGGGCGCCTGACGCGGCATTTAATGCCTCAACTACCCTCAAACCAGGTATAAATACAGAGTGAGTGCATTAATGGTAAACTCAACTACTCTCTATCTCTCTATCATAAATATATCTCCTTTTCCCTTCTCTCTCTAACTTGAGCTTCGGAGGGTGTACCGGGCGACTGCCCCGGACCCTTGTTTTGCAGAGTATCTGAGACGCTCCCTCTATCCAAGAACAGACGCCTCGCCCGAGCTCCACAAACCGCCTGGTATTAATTACTAGACACAAACACATTGTAAGTAGTGAACATTAGTTTTGCGCGGTTCATTTTTTTTTTTTTTTGTTAATTAGATATTCGAAAGGGTAATTAGAGACGCCGCTCGTTGACATAAAGAAATAAGAAAGGAAGTGACCTCTAGATTTTTCAATAATAATTCCCTAAATAATATATATTCCCAAATAGCATTTTTGTTGGCATCTTTCGTTCCATGTGCGAGTGGAAAGAACTTGTCTTCCCTGGTTAATTAAGTTACGGTTTCTCTTTCACACTGACACCTGTGGAACATAGGGAAACAAGGTTCGACTCAGGGTGAAGCAACCAACAACAGAAAAACATGCAATCTAGTTTCCGTCGAAAGGGCAATCAAAGGGCACCTCTCCCTTCAAGTACTCTGGATAACATAAACTAGAAACGTGCAACTGGGTTGATCAATAATACGTGTACATATAGATTGGTGTATTCCTGTCGTATATGGAATTCAGATATTGCTGTATTTCTATATATGTAGATTGTAAATTAAGTGGAGTTTGGTGTATGACATTGTACTCTAATCATTTCCAAGAGATAAACTTCAAGTTCTAATTATCTAAATTCAAACCCGGATATCAATTTAGTAAAAGATTATAATTGATGATTCTCTAATCCGAAACACGCATATCAAGTTTGATAAAAAAAATGATTCTGTAAATTATGTAAATTTATTTCCTCTGTTCTGTTTCTTGGGTTTTTCAGAAATTACTGCGAGCATACTTTCTGTTTCTCAGAAATGGGAACATATATAGGTTGTTTTGTTTAGGGGTGGCAGTCGGTCGGTTTCGGTTTAACTGAAAACCGAAAACCCGGTTATCGGTTAAACCGAGTCACCCCTATAGCTGCCAACCACTGACCGAAGAGAGGTCACGGTTAGCCGGCCAACCGACCGGTGGTTTCAGTTTTAGGCTCGGTTATCCGGCCAACCAAAAAAAATACATTTTCCATAAAAAAAAACTAAAAATTAATTAAATAAAACAAAAAAATCTCCACCACTCCTTCCTTATCTCCTCCTCTCTCCTTCCTTCCTCCACCAGACCTCTTCTCTCTCCTTCCTTCTTCTTCTCTCACCTTCTTTCTCCATGGAAACAGATCTGCAGGGGCGGCGAGGCGCGGCACCGGGGAGGAGGAGGTCGTCGAGGCGAGGCGGCGGGCAGAGGCAGTCGCAAGGGTGGCGCTGAGGAGGGGCTTATGGTCCATGGGCGAGGAATTCGACAGCGACGACAGAGCAGCCAGGGTGGGGCCAGCGGCAGAGCGAACGGAGGCGGAGACGGTGGAGAAGCTCGCCGGAGTCGTCCCGGTGCCTGTCGACCTTGCTGTGCCTGTCCTTCGAAGGCGACTTCTTCACCGCGAGCGGGCCGTTGGTTCCGCCGCCGGCGGAACCAGGAACAATGGCCGTGAAGGAAGTTGTGGTGGCAGTGGAAGGAGGGGGAGCGGAGGAGGCAGGGGAGGGTAGTGATGGCAATTTCAACCCGCCCCGCGGGTATTACCCGACCTGACCCGCGATGGGGCAGGTATTACCCGACCCGCAGTAGCGTGGGGCGGGGCATGGGTATCTACTTCCGACCCGCCCTGCCCCGCCCCGTCCCGTTCTAGACTCATTTTATCTCAATTTCTTACAATTTCTATACATATTTATCTTATTTTGACTTTTCTTTAACTAGTTAGTGTCGCCCTTTCAACTTGTTAAACTCAATTACCCATTCTATTATCACTATTTTTCATTCTTAAATTGTTTTACCCTTTGTTATCGTAAAAAGTAAAATTTACTTGTATTTTTGTCGACTAACATGTAAGAGTGGGTCGCCCCGCCCCGCCCCGTACCCGCCCGCCCCATAATAGCATGGGGCAGGGCATGGGAATTGAGGTACCCGCCCCGCCCCATTGCCATCACTAGGGGAGGGCGACGGCTGGTGCTGGTGGTGGTGTCTGTGGAGGTGACGGTGGAATAGAAGGTCGATTTAGGGTTCGTCAGATGGGGGAAGGGAATGGTTAATTGGATTCAATGCATGGTTCTCCTCTTTTTTACATTTTTCGGTTGTGGGTCGGTCGGCCGGTTAACTGCGATTAACCGCCTTCGATTACTCGGCTAACCGGCGAACCCTTCAGTCTTGCCAACACCGACCACGACTAATAACCGGCCGATTTTCGGTTAGTGATTAACCGACAATTAGCAGTTAAAACCGATGGTTAGCCGCTAACCAGAAACCGATCTGCCACCCCTAGTTTTGTTCCACCCACGTTACGCGTGCACGTTCCATGCATGAATGTTTCACAAAAGACAAAAAGACAAGTAAGAACGTACTTTGTTTCCTTTAATTTTGGTGGGATTTCTTTTCATATATGTTAGTACAGGCGAGAAATAACCCACCGACCTACTATATCTATTGTTTAAAATATATAGGTTAAACTTCATCCAAACAACGGGTACACCGATAAAAACTATAAAAACTTGTATTTTGTAAATCAGAAAATTCAGGAGGCTCATTTCCAAAATAATTTGCTTTCATATGGATGGAATTTGATTATTACGCTTGAATAGTGAATACATAGGTCAAATTAAGAGTTTTGAGAATCAACTCTTGTTGATGCATCAAGAACAGCACTATGAGACCATTGACCAAACTTCTGTTAACATAATGAGGGCTTCTTTCTTAGTAATTCTCATTATACTGATTAACACTTTGTTCATGTATAAAATATGAATTAGCATATGTCAAATGAAATTTTGGCCATGATGCCTATTTTTCATTGTTGTAAGTATGTGTTTGCGGATCGAAACCGTAACTTTTCTTTTTTGGAATAAGATCGATATTTTTACAATCGTTAGTTGTTGGATATACTAAATCACCGCACGTGCCTATCAGTTGCAAATAAAAAAAAAATGTTAACAATTAACGAGGTGCAATAGCAAATTATAACCTACATATTGTCTGATAATTTGCAATTGGAAATTACAAACGAATCAATAAATTTGTAACTTATTATATCCGATTCTATTGCACAGAAGGAGAAAGTATATACAAAGTGTTGCCTCCAATGTCTTTTATATGATATATTCACAGTATATAGACAAACTTATCCAATAAATTTGCAAATCATTACACCCCGGATTTTAGTTGTAGACGTATCTAAGTAAAAGAAAATTGGTGATTTAGGAAAGAGTATTATTGTTACATCTTAATCCTTTTTTATAATCAAGATATTTTTCGTTGTGTCACTACTCCCATACGATTTTACTTTCGGCGCATCATTATGAATGATGATTTCCTAAAAGGTCAATCATCTCTTCATTGTTCCATGTTGAATACATTTAACTTTAGAGTTGTTATGAAACTCAGAAATTTCACTAAAAATACATCTTATCGGTTAAGATTGGATTGTGTTAATCTCTCTATCATGCACTTTATCGTTATAGAATTCATCTAATAAGTTACGACTAATATCCCCAAACACCCATACTGCTAAATAATTAATTCAACTCGTAAATTTTAAATCTCAGTACTAATGATGATTAATTAACCCTTCCAAATTCCAATACACAATTTCTTAGGCGAAGGCACCAAGCAAGAAAGGCGGGAGGGAGGGAGAGAGAGAGAGAGAAAATTTACCATTTGAAAACATTCCTTAATTACCCAACCGAGTGAAAAAGAAGCTTCTTTTCTCAAACTCATAAGTTTTTACCAACTCCCTCCCTCCCTCAAATATAATAAGTACTTGTTGACTTGTGTGTGTCAAAAAACAGAAACTAGCATTCACTACTTACCATGTTTTGGGTTTCACGTTAATGTTAGGTCCTTAAATGGCCGCACTCCAATAATTATTTATGGTAAGTCTCAAAATTGTATTTTAGGTAACTAAAACAGACAATAATCCTCGAAAGGAGGCTATTTTTTTATTTTATCTTTTTATCGTTTTTTAATAACAGGATGGTGATTGGTCAGTGGAGAACTTTGCCGCTTTCTCTGTCACTCTTAAATCGCCTCTCTATAAATAACCCCCGGCCTCTTAAACTTCCCCCCTCCCTCTCTCCTTGAATTCACAGATCAATCTTTCTCTCTCTCTCTCTCTACTAATCCAAGAAGAAGAAGAAAATGGAGGATTTAAGTTCTATGTGGAGCTACCAGGAGGTGGGGGGTTTTTTCTCTCTTACACTCTCTCCTTCCCTTGTTATTCTGGATTCTTCAATTATGTTCCTCGCATTCCGCGATTTCCACGTTTCCCAGACTTCAATTCAGCGCATTTCGCTTTGCAGAGTGCAAAACAGAGTGCTTCATTCTGGTCTTCTCTGAAACAGAGTCGCAATCTGATGTCCTCTGCTTCACTCTGTTTTTTGAACTCCCCCTTTTTTTTTTTAGCTTGTTTTTCCCCCAAGACTTACCGTCCGACACGTTCCTATGTTTCTTTGTTTTTCCTATGATCTCCCCATTTCTATGCTTTTTTTCCCCTTCCCTTTCTTTGGATTTTCTTTCGCCCGTTTTGGGGAGTCTGGAATGGGGAAATGTTCTGTCCTGTTATGGACATGAAACCCAGAACATGCTTCAGTTGAATTTCGGGAGTACTAAGGATTTGTCCCCTTTTTCATTTCCCCCTTTTTTTTTTAACTAGTGTCGATGTCACTCATTCGGTGACCTAAAATTTCCTTCCTTTTCCAGCTTTCCCTATCGATTTCTGTATCCATTTGACTTGACCCGACTTGTGATTTCTTTCTCCAATGGCAAAGCTCTAAACTTTCACTTCTTTCTTCTTTTTGGCAGAGCATGGACGAGGTAAAGCAGAGCCTTCTGTACAAGACCCTGGAGCTAGAATCATTCAAATCCGAAGCCAACGCAAAATTGAGCAATTGCAGAGAAGAAATGACCCAATTGATCGACCTCCTGAAACTTGCTTACCAAGAAAGGGACGACGCAAAAGCCCAGCTCCAAAAGCTCCTCAACAAAATTATACCTTCCGAAATGAACCCAATTCTGCAACCAGACAGCCCAATCGTCATTCAGGGGAAAGCCAATTCAAGCATAACCGAATCCAACAGCCTCTCTGAAACGTATAACCCACAGTACTCCCACAGCTCTTCCCCTGTGGATTCCTTCTTCCACGACGCCGCGGCCGTGACCTCGCCGGAATTCTCGAGCATCAACGTGGCAGCAGCAGCCGCTGCTGCAGTTTCCCCAGTGGTTGCGGTTAAGATTGACCCGATCGATGCTGTGATTGATGAACTCGTGAAGGGGAAAGCTCTGCCGCAGCAAGGGAGGCTTCTTCAGACTGTGATGGAAGCAGGGCCTCTCCTCAACACGCTTCTCGTCGCCGGGCCGCTGCCGCGGTGGAGGAATCCACCCAAGCTCCAGACTTTCAAGATCCCTCCTGTTTCAATCAAGGGGTGCGATGGTTCTAGCAAGATCCAAGCTGTTCCATTGCTGCAGCAGAAGATGACGTTGTTGGGTTCCCAGACTTGCTCTGCTTCCATGGTGAATTTCGCTTCATCAGGTTGGAGTTTGAGCGCTGGCGGTGTCGGCCAAATCCAGCCGGGAAAGAGGCAGAGATTTCAATGAGAGGTGTTTTTTTTTAATAGAGTTGCCGAACTTTCCAACCCCAGAATTAGTTCCCTGTAAAAAGGAAAAGAGAGTTCAGATTCAGTAGACTTTTATCGCTGGTAGTGGTGGATCTTGTAAATGAAACATCAGAATTCTGTGACATAGTCTATTGTTAGCTGGTAGCATTGGCAATGGTTTTCTTTTTCCCCCATTTACTCTCTTTACCGCCATTTTAAGCGATTCAATAGTTGCAAACATGGACCAACTGCATCTTAGTTCGTCCTTCCTTCCATTGATGTTATTTTCTTCGCGCCGACTGCATTTGTGGGAGATTTATCTTATTTCGCCAACTTCAGAACACAGCACAGCCTGACTTGTTGGCTGTTGCAATTTTTCACGTCTCTCTGCCGCTCAGAACTCGAATGGGCAATACGTTTACTCAATTCCGTGCTGCCATTTGGACGCTTCCGGAAAGTGGACGTAAACAGTAGTTGGAGGGGGAAACTCCTACGGGCCTGCTGTGCAGGTTGAAACCCTCGAGCCGCTCGCTTTATTTCTTGGAAGGCCGGAGTTTAGAGCAGATACTGCTGAGGCGGTTTATGGGCTATCGTTTATGCCAGTCTTTATAGGCCCAACCAGAATCGCACAATCGTTAGAATCAGACAGATTTGCAGCAACATAAAGGGTACCATACAACAACACAAAGTAATGGCAGATTATGGGAGATTAGGGAGATTATCCATCACTGGATTCAGAAGAAGTGAACTGATAATAGCTGAAGGCTAGATTGTCCAGATTGTAAGTCGAGAAGAGAAGATCCATAACAAGTAAGAAAGGCTTACAAACTCCAACCTCGCATTGCATCATCATAACAAAACTGTTTAGTCTAACACAATGTATCAAGCAAATCCCTGAGAAAGGAAACGGCAAGGAAACCAACTTAGATGATGCCAATCTTGTTTGCCACATCCAATGCGTCGTAGTCCGGCGTCAATCTAACATATGCCTTCTTGGTACCATCAGGCCTGCAACGGGTAAAAGACCAACAATGAAAACTTGCAATGGGTACAATGTGTTGTAAGTTGTAACTAGTAAATACATATTGAGCATATAAATGTAACAACTTCAGAACCTTATATAAAGCTAATAGCAGGAGTGGTTTTTTACTAATTACAATGAACTCTCTAAGAAGGACTGAACATACATGGAATAGAAAATAATAGCTACTGATCAAATACAATTAGCTCCTCCACAAGGAGACACCAAGCATACATGGATATCAAACAGGCATCATGAGAAATTCATTCCTTCTGAAGGAAACTCACTATATGCAGTATAGTGGTATAATAATTACTAGGGAATTTCCTAGAGCTTCCATTTTCAGTTCAATACAAAGTTCCTGCATCAATGACTTAGGGAACTTGACATGCTGCAAACTATACAGAATGCTAAGAAGAATATTCGTGATTTGATCATGCTGTTCTATTCCTACTTGTTTGTCCATAATTCTACAGATTGATATGTGAATTACATAATATGGGATTCATACAGATTATAATGATATTTCCCTCGTCAGGTAGCAGAAAAACACCAGTCAAGAGACTTCAAATTGAAGAATTACCTGATGAGGGTGTTGTAAACTATAGAGAATGCTAAGAAGAATATTCGTGATTTGATCATGATATTCTATTCCTACTTACTTGTTTGTCCATAATTCTACAGATTGATATGTGAATTACATAATATGGGATTCATACAGATTATGATGATATTTCCGTCGTCAGGTAGCAGAAAAACACTGGCCAGAGACTTCAAATCGAATAATTACCTGATGAGGGTGTTGACCTTCTTGGCCTGGATATCATACATCTTCTTCACAGCAGCCTTGATCTTCTTCTTGTCAGCGCGGATGTCAACGATGAACACCAGTGTGTTGTTGTCTTCAATCTTCTTCATGGCAGACTCGGTGGTCAGAGGAAACTTGAGAATCTGGTAGTGATCAAGCTTGTTCCTGGGAGGTGCACTGATCCTTGGGTACTTGGGGTTCCTCTCCTTCTTCAATGTCCTTGGGCGGTGGAACGTGACCTTGGTCCTGATCTTCTTGGCCTTCCTCTTGAAAGTTGGGCCAGACTTCACTGCCTTAGCAGCCTTGACTGCCTGCGCCTTGGCATCTGACTTCGGCTTGCTATCTGCGACATGAATAAACACACACAAAACGATCAATCAAAAGCTCCAGCTTTACCCATGTAACCAGAAAGCTAAAACCTTCACCAAGCCTAACCCTATATTCATTCTTCCTTACTAGTTACTACTCTGTATGAAATGGGTTCTGGTTGAATCGATTACTATTACTCATCAAGCAAGTCCCGGAAAACCAAATGGTGAAGAAACTACGCTGTCGCGAAAACCCTGATTCATTTTCAAAACCCACTTCACAGACGAAGAACGACAGGGAAAAAGAATAGGTTTCCAGAACTAGGTCGTACCTTTAGGAGGGGCCATTGCTGCAAATCGATTGAATCACTGGGAGAGTAACAAAAAGGGAAGACAAACAAAATGTCAGAGAATCAGATGGGACGTGAGCGCGAACGTGAACGATTCAGAGAAGATAGAGATGCTGGGTGAGGGAAGAGATTAAGACGGGAGAAAGACGAGACCTGTGCGTCTTCGGAAGCAGCAGCTGGGAGGCCGTCCTCTAGGGTTCGTAAAGGAGTGGAAAGGCAGCAAGTAGGGTTTATAAGGATGGCGGTATCGTAATGTCTCTTTTAACTCCATGGGTTTGATGTTTATATGGATTGGGCTAGCTGATTTGTATTTCGAACTGGGCTTGTAGAAATGGGCTTTGGCCTGTTTTTGCACGTGATGGGATATTACTCAATGATTCGATTCATCTACAAAATATATAATTGCAAAATAACTAAATAAGGATTGGTTTTGCAGGGATTTGCACGTGATGGGATATTACAGCCCTTAGTGAATCCACTGAACGCTCCGCAAAACTCGGACAAGGAAATCGGCGCTAGGGTTTCTGCACACCGGCCAGCCTTACTAAGATGGTGACGAGATCGCCAGAGCCTCCGGTACCACCGGAGGAGGGCAAGCCACCTGACGGTTCAGCTGGAAGTCAACGTGCATCTGGAGTCTTTTCTTCCCCGAATGGAAAGAAGGATCGAGAGATCCAACAACCGAAGAAGAAGGTGAGACCGTTGGAGTTCCCTGAGGACAAAGATATGAACTTCGAAGTTGTTGTTGAAGATATTACTAAGGAGGAGATCGAGATGAGCTGCGATCAGGATCATCATGTGGATCATATCACCCATAGTCCTAAAACGTCACAACCCCAACCGATGGCCTGGGGGGTGGGAAGAAAGAAGTTGTTTAGCGAGGCAGTGATGGAAGAGTCCTGGTACATCGCAGACTCTGACTCTGAATATGTGGCCGAAGCAATGAGGGAGGACAATCAGGATGATCTGATCGCGGAGGATGACGACCCATGTTGCCCTACCGTATATTTTTCCCCATCATAATTGAGAGACTACCGCCGGGAGTGGCGTTCGGCACTGGTGGTGAAGGTCTTGGGGAGATCTTTCCCCTACCCCGTTATGGCTAAGAGATTGAATATGCTATGGGCAAGGAACGACACGATTCAGATCACGAACAGAACCAATGGCTACTACTTCATCAGGTTTACGAACAAACTGGAGTACGAAGCAACACTAACGGGTGGACCTTGGCTTATAGGAGACCACTATATTACTACCCAGAAGTGGAAGAAGAGCTTTAACCCTAAGACTTGCAAGATAGCCTCGACCTTGGCATGGATTCACCTACCTGACTTGCCGATTGAACTATTCAACCCAAAAGCAGTCATGCGTATAGCTGCGCGAGCAGGTACCCCGGTAAGAGTTTATAGAGCCAAAAAGTTGGGTGCGAGAGGTGTCTATGCTAGAGCCTGTATCGAGGTCGATCTAACGAAACCTCTTCTTTCTAAGTACAAGGTGGAGGGGGTGGAGTATGAAATCAATTATGAAGGCCTCGATAATGTCTGCTTTGAATGTGGTATGTACGGACACTCCAAGAATGCATGCCCTACGTTGCACTCGAATGAACACACGCAGGAAACAACGTTGGGCGGGAACCCAACCGACCAAGTTAAGCATACAGAGGCATACGGGGAATGGATGATCGCTAAACGGCGAGAGAGGAGACCAAACAGACGTGCTGATCAGGGAGTTGTGGGAAACCCGACAGGAAAGAAAGCATCGCGAGATGGGAACTTTGCTCCGGGTTCGAGATTTTCAGTTTTGGAATGCGAGGAAGTTGATAATGATATAGTACCAACAAAGGATACGGAAATGGAAGTGAGAGTAGCGGCCAAGGAGAAGGGGAAGGGCGCGGAGAGGGGGAAGACTTCCAAGCCCAAGGTTTCACCACAAAAGTCTCAAGCGATCTGGGTGGAGAAAATTCCATCCCAACAGAACCCTCAAGAGGAGAAACGACATATAGAGGGGGAGGAAAGCACTTCCTCTGAGAACCGACATCAACCATATGACCAGGTAGTAGCAGTGGGTAAAACTAAAGGCTTGTCACAGAATAAAGAAACAGTTAAGAGTATTAAAAATAAGCAGGGACTAGCAAAGGATGGGCAAATAGCAAAGCACATAAGCCTTTCTTCTAGTACCCAAGGTATGGAGGGACGGAACCAGGCTCCAAACAACTCTAATACCGGAGGAGCTAAGGAAGGTAAGGGACAATATCAGGATGCGTCCATGCACCCATACAATGCAATACCGGGGGGACAGCCCTCGAGAGTGGAGAGCGTGGCACCCCCTCGGGGGTGTCTACGACTCACTAGTAATGAAACCAAGGTTACCCTACGTATTCTCAGATACGATGGATTTGAACATATTCTCATGGAATTGTAGGGGTGCGGGAGGCGATAGCTTCTTGCGGGTCTTCAAGGAATACAAATGACTCACTCCTACTGTCACTCTAGAAAATGGCCAAGTGAAACCACTTCCCAAAGCGTAGTATAGCGGGTTTGGGTTTTAATGTCAACCCGGGTCCTAGATTTGATGACTACTCGGTGAAATCTTGTTATCTAGCAGTGAAACTTTAGTGCAAGTCCAAATTAACAAACAAACAAAGCAAGTTAAACGGTTGTTTTCAAGTCGAGAGAGGTCACCCGGATATGGTTCCCCCTAGACTGCAGTTAAGCCAGATTGCAATTTACCAAGTTCAGTTTCCATGAAAGTTATACTGCGGAAGGTTCTTAAACAGTCTGAAGTCTCGACTAAAGGTCTTCAGACCCTCTCAATCTGAGTCTCCAGCGGGCGACTAACCTCCACCGGAGTAAACAGATTGAGGCCCTAACGAACCAAACCTCCACTACCGAATTGAATTCGGTACAGAATAGCGAATCGGATCCTCGACTAAAGTCACCAATTCGCCACCTTCAATTAAGGGTGCTCTATCAACCTAGGCAGATATTCTCATTCTAGGTTAAAGCAGAAACAACAGGAATTCGATCAGGATTCAAGTCATTCAATCATTCAAGCCTCAATCGAATATAATCAACTCATGAAATCTGTACTTGGGTTCATACAATCAGACCTAACATACAAATCTAGGGTTTCCCATACCCAGATGAATGGGAGAACTACTCCATGGAGAAAGAAGCAAAAGCATATTCAGATGCGGAAACCATACTGTGAAGGATGGGTTTCAGCTCCTGGTCGTCAATCGGCACTTCTCCAAGCTCAAGTCGGGCTCCAATGGTGATGAAGATCAAGCTAGGGCACTTGGGAACTCTTGTTCGTCGCTTTCTCTCTCTAGGAATAGCTCTGTCTCTCTAAAACTCGAATCCCTTTCACATGTGGCTGGAAATTGGCTTAAAACCAGAAAATCCCGACTCACACGGGCAGGCCACACGGCTGTGTGGCATACCCAGTTGCCCGTGTGAGATCCAAAACGCCGCGTTCCGATTAATTGACTTCAGGCTACCTACACGGCCAGGGACACACGGCCGTGTGGCTCACCCGATCTACCCGTGTGAAGTCTCGCAGAATTCCACACTACCAAATTACTCCTTCACACGGCCGTGTGGAATTTATTTGTGCCCGTGTGAAGGCTCGCACAATCCCACACGACCACCTTGGTTGCTTGCACGGCCGTGTGGGTTTTGTGTGTGCGCGTGTGGCTTCCTCAGCGACTCGCCACGCGTCCGATCTTCGTCCAATCGACCCCAAACTCGCTCCCAAACCTTCATTCACTTACTAGGACCTGAAATATCACAAACAAGCACAACCTAGCGTGAAATCGGTCTAAAACACGAGAATCAACACCTCAAACGGCTCCAGAATAGGGGTAAAAACATGTGCAATTAACAGCTTATCAACAAACGCAAATACAGACCACACATCGCTATTATTGTAGAGCCTCGAATCAGTGGGAGTACAGCGAAGCAAGTGATCAGTCAGCTGGGGCTGGATCAAAGCCTAGTGATTGACGCAGTGGGTTTTTCTGGTGGTATTTGGCTACTGTGGGATTCCGCTTCGGTTCAGATTACTGAGGAGAACCGTACAGGCCAGATGTTACATGTTACGGTCAGGGAGGGTCAGGTGCAGTTTCTCTTATCGGCAGTTTACGCAAACCCTGCACTTGTTCAGCGATGGGAGCTCTGGGCCTCAATTAGATCGATTGCGGAGGAGAGTGCTATTCCATGGTTACTAGCAGGGGACTTCAACTCCATGTTGAGCGCTTCTGACAAGTTTGGAGGAGCACCTTTTGATGCCGGTAGGGTCAGGGATTTTCAGGAGTGTATCCTGGACTCCGGACTCAACGATTTGGGTTATGTTGGACCGCCTTATACGTGGTTTAGAAGGGGTGTGAAAGAAAGACTGGATAGGGGACTAGCCAATACAAAATTGGTGGTTGCGTTCCCGGAAACCACTGTAAGGCATCTTCCTAGAATCAAGTCAGATCATCGACCTCTCCTCATTAGGACAAGCATGCCTCTAGTATTCCCGGGGCCAAAACCTTTCAAATTTCTCGTAGCTTGGTTGACTCACGTGGATTTTGCGGAGGTAGCTAAGGCGGCATGGGAGAAAGGTGAGGATCTCCTCAGCAGCTCCAAAACCTTTGCCCAAGAGGTTAACCAATGGAATCACTCGACATTTGGACACATTCTCAGGCAGAAGCCGGAAGGATAGCCTTTTGCGGCGGATTGAAGCTCTAGAGGTACGTGGGGGTGGAGACTCTGATCAGCCTGCCATGACGTACCTCCGGAACGAGCTCGAAGAAGTACTTTTGCAAGAGGAAATTTTGTGGCTGCAAAAATCAAGAACGGGCTGGACGATATCGGGAGATAAAAATACTAAATACTTCCATACTAGAACGTTGCGCAGGCGGAGAAGAAATAGGATCTCGATGTTGAAAGACCAACAGGGAAATTGGGTGGAGGATCAAAAGGAACTGATGAGCATGGCATGTACGTTTTATGAGACATTATTCACAAATGAGGGTAATCCGTGTATGCATATACCACATCTCTTCCCTAGCAATGTGCAGCAAGAGGCGGCTGAACTTGGGGGTTTGTTTACGATGGAGGAGCTCCGAAGTGCGGTGAATGGCATGGGACCACTCAAGGCCCCGGGACTGGATGGCCTGAATCCGTTATTTTTCCAAAATTTTTGGGACCTAGTAGCACCGGCGGTAACAGAGTTTGCAGAGAAATGCTGGGGGTCACCTGAGACTATACGGGAACTAAATGAACAATTATAGTGCTCATCCCTAAGATTTCCCGTCCGCTTCAGATAGAGCAGTTCAGGCCAATAAGTCTCTGCAATGTGGGATACAAAATCATTACGAAATGCCTAGCGGAGAGACTTAAACCTTTTATGCCTAAACTGGTGCATGAAACTCAGACAAGTTTTGTACCGGGACGTCACATAACTGACAATATATGTGTTGCAGGAAGTGGTTCATTCTATGAGAGCCAAGGAAGGGAAACGAGGTTGGATGGCAATTAAGGTGGACCTGGCAAAAGCGTATGACCGAATCCGATGGAGTTTTGTCCATGATACTCTCTAGGCGATTGGGTTCCCAACGCAGTTCACGGAGCTAACTATAAAGTGTATTTCGACTGCCAGGATGCGCATTCAATGGAATGACGGCTTGACGGAAGAGATTTCCCCATCTAGAGGATTACGGCAAGGGTGTCACCTCTCCCCGTACATCTTTACACTGTGCATGGAGAGGTTGAGCCACCTAATTCGTTAGGCAGTGGAGGAGGGTAGATGGCAGCCGATTAAACTTGCAGGAACAGGACCCAGCCTGTCTCATCTATTTTTTGCTGACGATCTTATCCTATTTGGATTGGCTGATGATTCACAGGTCCAGGTCATCAATGAAACTTTTGACAGATTTGGGGGAACTTCTGGGCAACAGATTAGCAAGGCAAAGTCGAGAGTGTACTTTTCCGGGAATGTCCTGGCTACTCAAGCGACGACACTCAGTAATGGGCTGGGAATCCCTGAGACAAAGAACTTGGGAAGGTACTTGGGTGTTCCAGTAATACACGACAGAGTGTCCAAGGCAACTTTCCAGGAACTAATCGATAAAATTGATTCTCGACTAACCGGATGGAAGGTCTCCACCCTTTCGCTGGCAGGGCGTATCACTCTAGCACAATCGGTTCTGGCCTCATTATCGTTGTACACGATGCATACTACTTTGCTCCCTGCTAGCGTACGAGACTATATTGATCGTAAGATGAGAATGTTTATTTGGGGAAGCTCAGAAGCTGGCCGAAAGATTCACCTACTGGATTGGCACACTCTCTGCAGGCCGAAGGAAGAGGGCAGACTGGGTATGAGGGAAGCCACAAAAATGAACGATGCCTTTATGCTGAAGATTGCATGGTGACTGCTGAATGAACCGGAAAGTCTATGGGCGAGGGTTATTCGAAGCAAATATGTTAGGTTGGTCGGGGGCATGGAGCAACCCAGAACGTCGGGTAGATTCTCAAATCTCTGGCAAGGGGTTCTTTGAGTGTTGCACGTGTTACCTGATGCGATTATGTGGAATGTTCGAAGCGGAAGACAGACTCAGTTTTGGATGGATAGATGGATTTCTGATGGTCCGCCCCTTGCGGAGTTGGCGTCGGGTCTGCGAGAGGAAGCAAAGTCCATTACGGTGGCAGAGATGACCCTCAACCAGGACTAGAACTTTGTGTAACTTCGAGCCTTCCTTCCGCCGCACCTCGTGGAACAAGTAACTCTCCATGGCATCCCATCAGAGACAGAAGATGACGAGCCGGTATGGAGATTCACGGCAAATGGTAAGTTTTCACTTAAAACTACCTACGAATTCCTCAATGATGCGATCGACCCAGAGGATTTGCATCCAATATGGAAAATGGTGTGGAAGACCCCGACCACTCAAAGAATAAGGTCTTTCCTCTGGTTGGCGGCACATGGAAGATTGCTCACGAATGGGGAGAGGAGGCGACGCCATCTGACGGACTCGGATGCATGCTAGCTGTGTGACAGGGATGGAGAGTCGACCATCCATGTCCTACGAGACTGTTTATATGCCAGGGCTGTATGATCGGGCTTCTTAGATGACGAGCCTGATGAGTCGTTCTTTCGATCGGATGAGAGGGGGTGGTTGTTGTACTATCTCGCAGGGAAGAGTGAGAAGGTTAGTCCTGTCATCTTTGCTGTTGTGTGCTGGATGCTTTGGAAGAACAGGAACACCCATGTGTTTGAAGAGAAGCTGGCGGAGGTGAGCACATTATAGGTGGGGGCGTGGAGAATGAGTATTCAGATAGAAGAGGCTCTTGCAAAGGATCGAACCCCATGGGGGGGAGAAGCCGAAATCACTAAGGATGATTGGATGGGAACCGCCTGAACCGGGATGGTGT